TACTGGATCTCTATCTCTTATTGATGATCTCTTACTTGTCAGACTTACACAAATTAATTTTATTGAAAACACTCGCTAATCACCTAATAAAACTTCAAGCTATGCTTGGGAAAAGAGAGAAGAAAAGAAATCAACCACGCAATCTATCCCATCAGCTACTAAGATAGCCAGGTCTCTTTCAGCCAAATTTAATAAAAGAAAAGTGAAGAATCAAGCAACAACTTTATCTGTTCCCAGAAAATTCCAAAACTATCTTCTTTAGCATTACCTCAAATAAATATAAATGAGAATCCTCAAGAAGAATTTTCTTCAATATCATCTAATTTAAATATCAATTATAATTCACAGGATGATACTCAACTTGATATATTTGATGATAGGAATAAAATTGTAAATTGTAATACAACCACGAAAAACAAAAAAAAATAAAATAAAATAACATTACTTTTAATTACTTTTAATTTTTTTGCGCTTCTTTTTAATTATTTTTTTTTAAACATATATATTATTTAGATTAGATATTAGCTGGATTTTAAATTTTTTACAATTCTTTTTATTATTTTTATTTTTATTTTTAAATAAATAATTTTTTGAAAAAAAACAACTTAATTATGTAATAATAATCTATTTTTTTTTTTGATAATTCGTATTGATCACAATTCTTACAAAATAAAATAAAAAGGAATGTTAGTGACATTCTCAATTAAACAAACAAAAAAAAGAAGGAAGTTTCGTATGAAACTTACCATTTCTAAACGTTTAAATACTAGAAATCCCAGTTCTTACAAAAAACAATGAAAATAACGTTAATTACGTTCCCTAAAGCAATATTAAAATACAAATAAATGAACTTACCAGAGTACATTTATTTAAATCCTAGTCATCCGGTTCATCAAGAAAAAAAAGAAAGGGAATGTTAGTGAGATTCCTGATACAAAATTAAAAAAAACAAAAAAAATATACCATTCCCAATGTCTCCAAATCCAAAATCTCCATCCCTTATTCCTACAAAAGAAAAAAGAAAGGAAACGTTATTGAAGTTCCCGATTAAAAATTAAAAAAAACAAAAAAAAATATATCATTGGCAATGTCCCCAAACCCAAAATCCCCATTCCCAGTTCCTACAAAAAAAAAGAAAGTGAACGTTAGTGAAGTTCTCAATTAAAAATTAAAAAAAAACAAAAAAAAAATATACTGTTCCCAATGTTCTCAAACACAAAATCCTCATCCCCAGTTCTTACAAAAGAAAAAGAAAGGGAACATTAGTGAGATTCCCAATTAAAAATTAAAAAAAAAAATATATATATACCGTTTCCAATGTCCCCAAACCCAAAATCTTCATTCCCAGTTCCTACAAAAGAAAAAAGAAAGGGAACGTTAGTGAAGTTTCCAATTAAAAATAAAAAAACAAAAAAAAAATATACTGTTTCCAATGTCCCCAAACCCTAAATTCTTATTCCCAGTTCCTACAAAAGAAAAAAGAAAGGAAATGTTAGTGAGGTTCTCGATTAAAAATTAAAAAAAAACAAAAAAAAATATACTGTTCCCAATATCTCCAAATCTGAAATCTCCATCCTCAGTTCCTACAAAAGAAAAAAGAAAGAGAACGTTAGTCTGGTTTCCAATTAAAAATTTAAAAAAATAAAAAAAATATACCGTTCCCAATATCCTCAAACCCAAAATCCCTATTCCCAGTTCCTACAAAAGAAAAAAGAAAGAGAACATTAGTGAAGTTACCAATTAAAAATTAAAAAAAAACAAAAAAAAATATACAGTTCCCAATATCCCCAAACCCAAAATCCCCATTCCCAGTTCTTACAAAAGAAAAAAGAAAGGAAATATTAGCGAGGTTATCGATTAAAAATTAAAAAAAAAACAAAAAAAAAATATACTGTTCCTAATGTTCACAAACCCAAAATCCCCATCACCAGTTCCTACAAAAGAAAAAAGAAAGAAAACGTTACTAACGTTTCCTGAAAGTAAAAAAGTAAAAAAAAGAATGAACTTACTATAGTTCGTTCACCTTATCGTTCAGTTCGTCCGTTTGTTTAATTTCTAACCTTAAAAAAAATGATTTTAAAAAAAAATAATCAAAAAATTAAATAAAAAAAAATGTGGCTTTTATCTAATTATATAAGTTAATCCGATCCATAGATGGATTAAATAAAAAAAGTAATTTTCTCAATATAAAAAAATATTATATCTGGCGAATTCGTATTCTAAAAAAAAAGAAGAGGTGATGTGTATCGAAGATGAGATTATTATTAAACAAAATAAATAAAAAATAAATAAAAATAAAAATAAAAATACTAATTCCTAGAAGTCTATTAAAATTGCTATTCCTAAAGATAAAAATTTTTCCTTTATTTACCGTCTGAAATTTATTTAATTTTAATAAATTAGAAATAAACCCAGTAACGATAATCCTTAAAAATTGGATTAGAATGAATCCAAATAAATCCAAAATTATAGATAAATTCTTAAATCGGAAAAGAATAGATCCGGATAGATCGTTAAAAATAGAATCAATCAACAATACGCAGCTATACCATAATATTAATAAATTGTACTAAATTTGAAAACATTGAAT